ACCTGGTGTAGCAGCTAGCAGTGTACACATGTGCACCTGGTGTAGCAGCTAGCAGTGTACACATGTGCACCTGGTGTAGCAGCTAGCAGTGTACACATGTGCACCTGGTGTAGCAGCTAGCAGTGTACACATGTGCACCTGGTGTAGCAGCTAGCAGTGTACACATGTGAACCTGGTGTAGCAGCTAGCAGTGTACACATGTGCACCTGGTGTAGCAGCTAGCAGTGTACACATGTGCACCTGTGTATATATTCACCACAACATACACATAACTCTGTTCATCATTAATTTGCACGAGTGGACAATGTTCATCGTGTTCAGGACAATTTACTATGATGGTCCGGACCCAAGACAATCCTCCAGCATCAACACACTTCCGGAAGAGTGATTTGATGCTCTTCAGAGTCTTCTCATCCAAGGACCCGGAGCTGCCTTTCTCTTTCTTCCATTCGCAGAGAAATTCTTATCGTCAGACCATTTTGTGAATGTTGCTAATGTTAGCACTCCACATCCCTCTCCCCAGCCCAGGTCCCTCTCCCCACTCCACATCCCTCTCCCCAGCCCAGATCCCTCTTCCCACTCCACATCCCTCTCCCCAGCCCAGGTCCCTCTCCCCACTCCACATCCCTATCCCCAGCCCAGGTCCCTCTCCCCACTCCACATCCCTCCTCCCCAGCCCAGGTCCCTCTCCCCACTCCACATCCCTCTCCCAGCCCAGATCCTCTTCCCACTCCACATCCCTCTCCCCAGCCCAGATCCCTCTTCCCACTCCACATCCCTCTCCCCAGCCCAGGTCCCTCTCCCCACTCCACATCCCTCTCCCCCAGCCCAGGTCTCTCCCCACTCCACATCCCTCTCCCCAGCCCAGGTCCCTCTCCCCACTCCACATCCCTCTCCCCAGCCCAGATCCCTCTTCCCACTCCACATCCCTCTCCCCAGCCCAGATCCCTCTTCCCACTCCACATCCCTCTCCCCAGCCAGGTCCCTCTCCCCACTCCACATCCCTCTCCCCAGCCTAGATCCCTCTTCCCACTCCACATCCCTCTCCCCAGCCCAGGTCCCTCTCCCCACTCCACATCCCTCTCCCCAGCCCAGGTCCCTCCCCCCACTCCACATCCCTCTCCCCAGCCCAGATCCCTCTTCCCACTCCACATCCCTCTCCCCAGCCCAGGTCCCTCTCCCCACTCCACATCCCTCTCCCCAGCCCAGATCCCTCTTCCCACTCCACATCCCTCTCCCCAGCCCAGATCCCTCTTCCCACTCCACATCCCTCTCCCCAGCCCAGATCGCTCTTCCCACTCCACATCCCTCTCCCCAGCCCAGATCCCTCTTCCCACTCCACATCCCTCTCCCCACTCCACATCCCTCTCCCCAGCCCAGATCCCTCTCCCCACTCCACATCCCTCTCCCAGCCCAGATCCCTCTTCCCACTCCACATCCCTCTCCCCAGCCCAGATCGCTCTTCCCACTCCAGGTTCCTCTCCCCACTCCACATCCCTCTCCCCAGCCCAGATCCCTCTTCCCACTCCAGGTTCCTCTCCCCACTCCACATGCCTCTCCCCAGCCCAGATCCCTCTTCCCACTCCAGGTTCCTCTCCCCACTCCACATCCCTCTCCCCAGCCCAGATCCCTCTTCCCACTCCACATCCCTCTCCCCAGCCCAGATCCCTCTTCCCACTCCAGGTTCCTCTCCCCACTCCACATCCCTCCTCCCAGCCCAGATCCCTCTCCCCACTCCACATCCCTCTTCCCAGCCCAGATCCCTCTTCCCACTCCACATCCCTCTCCCCAGCCCAGATCGCTCTTCCACTCCAGGTTCCTCTCCCCACTCCACATCCCTCTCCCCAGCCCAGATCCCACTTCCCACTCCAGGTTCCTCTCCCCACTCCACATGCCTCTCCCCACCCAGATCCCTCTTCCCACTCCAGGTTCCTCTCCCCACTCCACATCCCTCTCCCAGCCCAGATCCCTCTCCCCACCCAGTTCCCTCTCCCCACTCCAGGTTCCACTCCCCACTCCAGAACCCTCCTCCCCATTCCATATCCCTCTCCCCACTGCAGGTTCCTCTCCCCACTCCGGATCCCTCTCCCCTCTCCAGATCCCTCTCACCAGCCACTCCATGTAACCCTCTCCCCACTAAGTTCCTCTCCCACTCCAGATCCCTCTCCCCAACTCCAGATCCCCTCTCCCCACTCCAGAACCCTCTCCCCACTCCAGTCCCTCTCTGCCACTGCAGTTTCCTCTCCCCACTCCAGATCCCTCTCCCCACTCCAGATCCCTCTCCCCACTCCAGATCCCTGTCCCCACTTCCTCATCCCTCTCCCCCACTCAAGATCCCTCTCCCCACTCTCCAGATCCCTGTCCCCACTCCAGATTCATCCCTGTCCCCACTCCATTTTCCCCTCTCCCCACTCAAGATCCCTCTCCCCACTCCAAGATCTCTCTCCCCACTCAAGATCCCTCTCCCCACTCAAGATCCCTCTCCCCACTCCAGATCCCTGTCCCCACTCCATTTCCCTCTCCCCACTCCAGATCCCTGTCCCCACTCCATTTCCCTCTCCCCACTCCAGATCCCTCTCCCCACTCCATTTCCCTCTCCCCACTCAAGATCCCTCTCCCCACTCCAGATCCCTCTCCCCACTCCAGATCCCTGTCCCCACTCCATTTCCCTGTCCCCACTCCAAGATCCCTCTCCCCACTCAAGATCCCTCTCCCCACTCAAGATCCCTCTCCCCACTCCAGATCCCTCTCCCCACTCCAGATCCCTG